TGTGTTTTTTTAAATATATATTTTTATTGATTTCAGAGATGGAGAGGAAGAGAAAGATAGAAACATCAATGATTCTCTCTCATCATTGAACAGCTACCTCCTGCATGCTCCTTACTGGGAATCAAGCCTGCAACTTGGGCATGTGACCTGACCAGGAATTGAACCATGGCCTTCTGGCTCATAGATCTACCACTGAGCCACACCTGCTGGGCTCTAATTTTGTTTTTGTAGAGTATTGGTATAATTCCTTAAATGTTTGGCAGAACTTACCAGTGAACTCAACTGGGCCTCAAAATTTATTTTTTTACTTCCACTTTTGATAATGTGTGAGAGAGCTCTATTTCCTCAGGATCATCCTGATACTGGTAATGCTGTTTCTTGACCTGGAGGCTAGTTACTCCAATATTTTCAGTTTGTGAAAATTAATCTGTATGTACTTATGTATGTAATGCTTCAGTTACGTTTATGAAAATACTAGAGGCTCGATCCATGAAATTCGTGTAGGAGTAGGCCTTCCTTCCCCTGGGTGCCGGCACCAGCTTCCCTCTGGCACCCAGGACCCAAGCTTCCCTCTGGCTGCCATCAGTCACCGGGGACCCGGGCTTCCCTGACAACCCCAGCTTTGTCTAGATGGATATCTGGTCTAATTAGCATATTATGCTTTTATTATTATAGATTTTTACTCCATATGTATAGCTCAGACTGACTCTAATAATAAGGGACGTTACTGACTCACATAATTCCAAGGAAGGCATCTGAGAGTGGCTACTTCAGCATCCAATGAATCATTAAGGACCAATTTCCTTCCTATGTGTCAGTGCTGTCCTCAGAGCTGCAGAAGTTCTGGGTATTGTGTCTACACACAACATTTCCCAAAGGAAGGTCTTTTCATCCATGAATCTCTTTTTAAGAGCAAGACAAATTTTCTATAAGCAGGTCTGGTAATTTCTGAAAAATTAAACATTTATCTACCCTATGACTGAGCAACCCCACACTTGGGTATTGACCCATTAGAAATGAAAGCATATGTACATATATACATGCACACACACACACATACAAGTGTGTGTGCACATACACAGAGAAAACATACACAAGAATGTTCCTAGATGCTTTATTCATAATATTCAAAACTTATAAATAGTCCAGGTTTTAATCTATAAAAGAGTAGAGATAAATTGTGTACACTTATTCAACAGAATACTACTCACTAAGAAAAAAGGAATAAATTATCAATATGTACAACATGGATGAATCTAAAGATGTTATACAGAGTGGAATAAGCCACACGACAAAGAATACATACATAGTATCTACACGGAGAGGCGAGGGTGGGAAATCAACGGGGAAGGGTGGATACAATAGGTGTTTGCATCTGGGAGTGGGTGAGGGCGGGCCAGGATGGACTGGGAAGGAGGTGGAAAGGAACTTTCTGGGAAGATGGTAATCTTTTTGTGATGACAGGTGTTTGAGTTACACAGATGCATGTGTCTGTCAAAACAGAAAACATACACTTAAGGTTTATGTAATCCTTTGTCTATAAATTTCATCTAGAAAAAACTGTGAACAAATTTTGCATTTTGGTTAATGGTATGAATATTAAAGTATTTAGGGAGAAGTGAACTGATATCTGTGATTTACTTTGAAATGCATTAAAATAAGAATAATTGGTTAGAACATTGGCTTGTGCACCCAAGAGTCAAGGGTTTGATTCCCAGTCAAGGGCAGGTACCTGGGTTGCAGGTTCAATCCCCGGCCCTGGTCAAGGCACGTGTGGGTGACAACCAATCAATGTGTCTCTCTCACAGTTATTTCTCTTTTTTTCTCTCTCCCTTTCCACTTTCCCTACCTTCCACTCTCTCTAAAAATCAATGGAAAAAAATATCCTTAGTGAGGATTAACAAAAAGGAAAAAAATGATACATGGGTAAAAAGATAAGACAAATGAATTGATATGTGATAAAGCGAGTTAATAAAATAATGATGGATACTGTATGGGTTCTTATTGTAAAATTCTTAAAAATTTAGTGTACACTTAAAATTTTTCATAATAAAATGTTAGAAGGAGAAAAGGTTTGTACAAAAAGGTTTTCAAGGCCAAATAAATTTAGGAAGTACTAACTTAATGAAATGTAAGTAGATTCCTTTAAGGAGAGATTTATTAGAGCCTTAATATAGTGATACAAATGCTGAACTTATATAGTGTGTGTGTGTGTGTGTGTGTGTGTGTGTCCTGGGAACCATGTCCCCTGGGCTCCAGTCCCATTCCTACCTCTCCCTTCAGTCCTGAGCAAAGGAAACAAGCTGCTCTACATCAAAACAGAAGCCAGCAGGTCTTTCTAGCAAGCTTGGCTGCCTTTCCTGCTCTGACCTTCTAACACCAGTAAAAAGACGGCCATTAATTCCCCATTTTTGTCAAATGAGAAAGAAGTGGATTTGGGCCCTCTTCAAGAGGAAAATGGATTTCCTAGGACTTGAACAAATTCATTTGTTTGATTTTAATTGGTGATTAAGCTCTGAACATCTTGAGAAATTAAACCAGTTTCATAGCCCAGATCTACAGAAAGCCAAATTGCCACAGTTCTCCGCTCTCACCATGTGTTACAGTGACATTTCGGATACTTCCCCATCTAATTTTGGTGACTTTTCGTTTGAATTCGCTCTCGGCGAATGCTAATAGCATGTGGGGGTTACGTGTGCCGAATACATTGACATTTTCTCTCTCGAAGGAAGAACTATCGCCACCGCCACCCTCAGCAAGTTTTGCTGTGTGTCAGACACAATTGGCTCAGAGGACTAAGAACAAAGAACAACACCTCGGCTACATGCCTTGCTTCAGTGGCTCTGTCTTCCCGCAGTCGGAACCCTAGGTGCTCAGGACCCAGGAGCCTCAGGGAGAAAAGCCTCGTTAGGTGACCTTGTGGGCAGAGGTCTTTGAGTGTCCACTGTGAGCTTCCCGGGAAGGGACAGCAAGCTCTGTATAGGCATCTGGGGTCCGCTCACGAACCCAGGAATGGGCTCCAGCATCCGGGGCCAGTGACGCTTCCCAAGCCAGCACTGTGCCAGCAGCCCTCACTGGACTCGATTCCTTTTCAAGCTGTTTGTTGGCTTTACAAGTTCATCCCTGGAGCCTGTGGAGAAACAGCTAGCCAACACCCACAAGCTCACCTGCCCGCCTCTGCTAGGAAGCCTGCAAGGCTTGCTGAGGTGCGAAACGCTGTCTGCTGTGCAAAGGAAGCCTATGCTGGGAACACATTGTATCCTCACTCCTTGCCCCTGCCAGGGCCCTATCATAGCCTAACACCAGCCAGAGATCAAAGGCTCCCTTGGCCAAAAGGCTTGTGGTAAATTTTCCGTAAGCCTGGTGATGCTCTGATTGTGGCCTCACAGCCAACGGTTTCAGAGAAGCCTTCAAAACAAACATTCATTTAAACCAGATCTTGTGAAACGTTCTAGGAGCATTGAAACCCAACATGTGCCTTCCCACGGTCAGAGGCTCCTTAGAGAAGGCATGAAATGCACTGCTTTGGCTGAAACCTGTCTTCCCTTCCCTCTTGTGCTAATTCCACCAGCAGAAAGCAATTCAAATGGTACCAGTTGCTCCATGTGCCAGCACAAAGCTGGCCTGGGGAGCAGACTCCAGGCACCAATAGCCCATGGTAGCCATTTCTGCTTCATTGCTACCCTGGCTTATCATTCAAGAAGACTATGTCATGCTATTTCAGCATTGGCCAATACTTCAAACACTGTGCACACACATCAATGCAAGAATTTTACCGAGGGTAGTAAGATGTCAATAGGTTCAGACTACTGCTAATACCTACTCAGAAGTTCACATAAAGGCTGAGTCCAGGCATGGTTTCTTAATCCAGCCTAGCTCCCCCTTTCTGGATGAGGCCAGAGTTTGGATTGAGACTTCTTACCTTGCTCCACAGGGGCCTCGTGTTCATCTTTCTCTTGCTCACATTCCTCTCCATAGAGACAGTGGTTGTTTACTGAGCATTTAACTTACACCCATGCCTCATCATCGTCTCACATGACACAGAACAGGTAAAATCATCCCTATTTTTGTGAGAAAAGTGAGGCTCAGAGCAAATTGGCCAAAAATAGTGCCTACAAACCCTCTTCTGAGCTTCCAATACAAACTCTAATGGATATACCATACTCAATCCACTTTCTCCTGGGGCTGCTCCTTTCCCCAGGCAATTACTCTCATTATTCATAAAACAACAGAGCCACTCATTCATTGATCCCTTCAACTATCAAACTTTTCCTGAAGCTGCTAAACAAGTTAAACAGAAGTAAGTGCTTACTAGTAGCTTCTTTCTAAGTATCCAGTCCCCACGTCTTTCTGGTTCCTATAAGCAAGCAGGTACCTACACGATCCACTGTGGTCTCCAGAGTCTGTAGTTCTCATAGTAGCACAGTTTTTCTTCTCAAGTGGCACAGAGGTAGACGGTAACACTGATTTTAAGGGTTTCCAGTTGATAAGACATGAAGTCCTTCCTGGAAATGACATGGGTTTAAAAAAACAAAGAGCAGTTGGTCCTTCAGATCCTTGGATGCCAAGGGCTGACTGTAAGTCATAGTTCTATGAAGATTTTTCCACTGTTGCAGGAGTAACACCCCAAACCCTGAGTCATTCAAGGTTCACCTGTAAAAGAGCAGTCAAACTGAAGTTTGGAGTAGGTTTTAAGGAATCTCAAGAGAAAGGACACATGATTATCTCAAACAAAACCACACACACACACACACACACAAAAAAAAACAAAAAACAAAAAAAAAACCTCAGGGATGAAATTCTGAAATGGAGTCTCTTACCTTGCTTTAATGATTCCACGTAGGACTTCTGTGAACAATGTGAACACATCAGAAATAGCCACTTATTTTTAAGTATGTTTTTATTAAAAAGTGCATTTTGATTAATTTACGATCTAGGTAAGCTATTAAGATATCAGTATGCTCTCTGGAATAATAACTTTACAAAGATTTAAAACAAACCAAATTTTAAAAGCCATTTTATTTCCTTCACCATTATTGTTTTACAATACAAATATCACCTTGTGAATACACACGCACATAAAAAGAAAAAAACCCTACAGAAGATAATTCTGCTGCACGTAAAATACAGAATGGATATATATACTTCTTCATTCTTAAAAAACTATTTTGTTCTCCACATTGGCAAGTATATAATAGAATACTTCCCCAACCATCCTTTTGTTAGGAACAAAACTTAGAGTTACATGCAGTTTCTGCACAAATATATTTTAAAGAAATAGATCTCTTTTTTGTTGTTCACCAACAAAATTGTCATGAGAGTATGGATAACGAATTCATAGCTTTCAAGTTTTAGTTAAGCGATCATTTTCAAAACTCACTTTAAAAAAAAAGAAGTATTCATGGCTATTTTCACTGTAGAGTTAAAATTGAACACCAAATAGGTAAAATAATGTAAGTGGGCCAAGTCGTGGCCACCAGCTCACAATATGGGAGCCGGTGCTGACTTTCAGATTACCACCACGTCTCCCCACCCCCAGTCTGTAATTCAGAACAACTGAAAAGCCATAAGCAGTCTTCTGATTTAATTTAGCTACAAATGCAAAATTTAGTAGTGTATACATACATTTATATTTTCATGGAATACTTTATTTTAAATAAAAACATTTTTTTAAAGATTGCCTACTGACCATACAATCAAGACAAGAAAGGCACTAGAAACATAGACAAATTTCTCTCCCAAGAAGCATTTTTAAATTTTAACTCTCTCTTCTCTTTGACATGTAAAAATCTTGAAATTTGGTTTTCATAACATCATTTGAAAAATAAAGTTAGGAAATAGTTAGAAAATCACTTTATAACAGAACCTTTTTATTTATTTTTATTTATTTTTTTTTTGCACTTTTTGACACACTGTCTCTGCTGATTTTACAAAACCCAAAGTTACTAAACCTTTCTGTCTGTCATTTTTATTTGACTATCGGTGCAACAGGTAGAAAGATTTCAGAATCAGACCCCAGTCAGGTCCTTAGAAACCTTCATAGAGACATTGGCTAGAAAATGGCTTACAGCCCAATCTTTGGGGCAAGAGATATGAAAAGTATGTTTTCCCAAGAAAAATAATACACTTTATTTCCAGATGTGACTGGAAAGAACAGAACTTAGGGATATAAAAGCTTACATTTATGCTGTTGCATCATATACAAAGGAACATGGTGGCTGTGGGTTATTTAAGTCCCAGACTTATGAACAGGAAATGTGTACAGTGCATGATAGGTTAGATTTTCTTTATTGTTGTCCAACGCAGGTCCTTTGGAGAGAAAAAGATCACAGTGCTGACCAGGTAACTCAATAGGTTAAGTCAAGGTAACCGTTGAAAGATAGTAGGATTAGGGAGGTGTTTATTTTATGGCATCTTCTCTCGTGGAGTTCTTAGCACTTTGGACAGGTCCTCGTTCCCCCTCTTTGCACAGCTGTTATGTGTCAGTCACCAACCGGCTGTATCTAACTGGTCTACTGAGGTGGACTACTGGCCAGGGGAAGGGCCAATGGTAAGATCGAGGTACAATTCCTTGGACATTCTTTTCAAAGTACTGAAATGGCCTGTACCACCACACCCGGGCCAAGAGGTTCATCTGGGAAGCTTCTTTGAGCACCTAAGACAATAAAGAAAGGAAAAACCAAGTCAGTAAGAGCAATTAACTTGCTGCAGCCCCAAAGGGAACATACATATTTTTCTCATGACCTTTCACTTTAAGATCAAAATTTTAAATATTAAAATGCACAAAGGGCCCAGACTGGCTCCATGTCTTCCCCTCCACCCCAGTTTCACAGTCACACCACCATTCTACACTTGGCACTCATCTGCAAACTGGGAAACACCCTGGTAGAAAAACAAGAAACTCCAATTCCAGGAGTGCAAGGAAAACCTGTGGCTTACTCAGATAAAGACCGCAATTAGTTTTTAGTTATTCACTCTTCTACAATGAAAATGGACAAACTTAATGTTAAATATTACGCTGGTGAGGGGCCAAAGGCAGGAAGAAGAGGGTAAGAATGCAAGTCAAGAAACAGGTGGGCACAACTTAGTAAATATTTTTAGGGACAATGAGAATGTGATATTTGTTCTAACAGGATGCAATTTCTTGGTCATTTTTTATTTTTAAGTGGATCAGCATCACAAAAGATAACATAACCATAATTGACTATCTCTTAAGGAAAGAGAAACCTAAGGCATCTGTGGGTCTTTTGTACTTTTCCCCTGCCACAGTAACACCAACACCAGAGCAAAAGACAGGAAAATCAAATGGGGGAAAGCTCACTTGCTGATTGGCCATAGTGTGGTACCACCAGAAGAGTCTTGTAGTGATGTAATATGCCACCACCACGTCCACAGTGTAGTGGTCATGCGCTAAGAGAATACAGAAGATTCCAACTACGCTGAGAAGCCAGCAAATCCAGTGATACCACCAGAGTCGTCGAGGGGAATCTGAAGAGAGAAGAAATTTGCAATAATTCCACTATTCAAGGTGCCCAATCACACCTCTACCACCATTGTGAATGCAGTTTCCTCATGTCCTTCCTTTTGCAAACACCTCTTGGGCTATCAAATCTTTAGCTTATCTGTAACCAATGTTAGAATAGTTTATAAAATCTTATTTTATAAAGTATTACTAGCAAGAGTAATTCATATTTGGCTGTTATTGGACTCATACAGCCATAAATATAGTTTAAAAGGACAAATAAGGACAGGTTAATGTATCATGATCCATTTTTTTAAAAAGCTGTTCTTGGACATTTAATTTATATGTAAGTAATTGGGGGTTAATTCTCTATAAAAAAATCAATCCTTTCGGTCCATAGATCCTTATACATGAATTAATTATAATTGATATGATTTATTTGATTTCCAATCTGTGCAACCATACACTACTCTGAGTCTGAGATTTCCACGTTCTCAAATACAAGTCAGAGAAAACCCAAAAGCCTGGGAATTCAGTCCAAGTGCATTCCCAGTGGTGCGGCAGTGTCAATAAACACTGTTCGTGCTTCCATTGGAAAATCACCTGAGGGAAGCAACAGCATCTCCATTAGTGTGGGCCTTTCAGCCTTGTACTCTCATTAGATGGTCTGAAATTCTAGGTTTAAATGTGGTCTATCCTCCCCCTCCTCATTCCAGGAGAGAAATTTCAGGATTTTATTAGATTCTCAAGGGGTACAAGACTCAATCGCGCATTCGTGTGACCTTGTATATTTATTGAGCATGTACAATGTGCCCGGGATGGGAACTGCTCCAGGCACTGAGATCCATGTACAAAACAGGCAAAAAGCCTGCCTTTGTGGGGAGAAACCTTTCTATTGTAGTAGGGAAGATAATAAAAATAATTACAATAAATAAGAAAATTATATACTATGTTAGGGATCTTAAATGCTATGGAAAAATAAAGTTGAATTGGATAAGCAGGGTCAGAAGGCTGAAGGGTGGTTTGCAATTTTAAATGGAGGGTCAGGTTAGGAATCTTAGTGTATTATTCCATTTCCAGGAAAATTTGTATTTGATAACAACATAGCAACAAATATTCATTCCTCATGAACATTATTATAAATATCCATCTACTTTAGCTTTTACCGCCTCTCTCACTCTCGTTAAATAGCTATCAGTATCTCATTTTAAACATATAGAAACCGAGACGTAGAAAGGTTGTGTTTTTCCCAAAGTCACAGAGATAGTGACAGCACCAGGAGTCAAAAATCAGAGTTTGTGACCCAATATAGCACACTGCTTTATTATCTTCCAGAAGCATAAGGCTTAATCCCAAGAAAGGATTCAGGTACCAATCAGCAGGAGGCAGAAATCTCTCCTTCAGCCAACTGACACCAGATCCATTCTGTTCCCTTGAGTCCAGTTATATCCTGGTACAAGGGCTCGATCACACCCTGACAATTCTGGATAGACATTGTCAGAATTCGCTCTATCTGGTCAGTGCCCCAAAGCCCATCTTCTCTTCTTCTGTTATGTCCCCCAGCTTAGTTTTGCTTAAGACCCAAAATGGGCATTCATTCTTCATTCTACCACCTGTCTTCCGAACCTCCACAAACTATCTGACTGTCGACCCTTCTTGGTTAATCTCCCTCTGGTCCTTCTACTTCTCTCCATCCCCAATGCCACCCCGGCAGTCTGAGCCACCACCATGCTGCACTGGACTACAGCAGCAGGCTCCTAACTTTTCTCCTGGCCTTGTCTTCTCCCTCCCCCATCCATCTTGCAACCTGCTGCAAGAGTGGTTTCTCCCTCCAGAAAGGATAAGGTGACACTGCCCCACTGAACAAGCCTTCAGTAGGCACCCCATCCCTGTGCGATGGAAGTTCAGATTCCTTCTGGTGGCTTACGGCATTCTCTGCGTGACCTGGTTCTACTTACCAGTTCATTCTCATTTCTCACCACTAAATTCCAACCATGTTCAACTTCCAAGGTGCCATACGATCCCAAGACCTCCCTCCTGTAATGTGTGTCCCTCCTCTGTGATATCAGCACCCTGGTTACTTTGTCACTCTATCGTGGAACTGCCTGTATAAGGCTCACTGGGACTGTTTCTAATGGTAAAATATTGAACACAGCTGAACTTTCTACAAGTAGATAAATGAAAAAATGTAATCTGTGGTTCATTTGTAGTACTGAAATATAAACAGCAATTAAAATGAACTGGAGTCTGATCTCAAAAACACCATTGAGAGAAAATTGTAAAATTTAGAAACCAGAGAATAATGTAATACACAAGTACAAAAACATGCACGGAAATTATATAGGAAAATGGGAGGGGGAAGGGACGAAATGTTTTAATCATATGTTAACACTTTATTTGCGTTTGTGTTTCATAATAAAATATTTTACTAAGTGCATTTCTTTACAGGAACTTTCGCATTTAGTGTCTGCCTCACTTAGTGTTCCTGAGCCCATGGCCTCTACTGCCATGGTCCACAGACGTCACTGACCCATCACTGCACCCTCAGCTTAGAGCACAGTGCCAGGTGCTTGGAAAAATGGCTACCTAGTGAACACATGATCTTCCATCATCCAGTTAGTCAGGCCCAATACTTTTCTGTGTCTTGGAGATCTCCTTCTGATTTCTTCCAACGGGTGTCACACCCCACAACACTACAGATGACACAGAAGGAAACAAGAAACGCCAGCCAAGAAGAGCAGTTACTCCCTGCCACAGAGAGCCTCCGGTGCCTGCTGTCTGTGTGCAGGCGAGGTGGTGAGATGAGGCACTGCTCCTCAAGGCCTCCAGCCTTGCTTCGGCAGACTTGCCACAGACCCTAGGAAACGGCAGGTGAGAAAATTCTAATGGGAGCCTGTTTTAGACTTACACTCTTTGATAAATAAGTAGGTGAGTGTGAGCATGACCGTGTGGCCGCTGTACAGATAGTCCCCACACATGTTGTGAGAGCCAGTTATGGACAGGCCACCGCCAGCAATGAGCTTCATTATTCTCCGCAGTTGGGCTTCCCAGTCTCCGAAAAGCTGGTGGGGAGAGAGAAAACAAGATTTATCAGCCCACATGAAGGTGTGCTATAATTACTATTTATATTCAGAACTAGGCTTTGGGATATTGTGGTTTATAATTTAGGAGTGTCGAACTCAATCAGAGAAGGGGCCAAAATCTAAAATCCAGCCTAAATCGCGGGCCGAATGGTTTACTGAACAGTCATAAACTGTCATTGTGATGGAAACGCAGCGGAGTGCAGTGATGACAGCACGGTGCGGGCCACATTGCAAGGCCTGGCAGGACGGATTTGGCCCGCGGGCCTTGTGTTTGACACATGTGGTTTATATTAAGAAATATATATTTGGTCTTTGCCCCTGTTCCTGACACAGAGCTTCTAAACACTTTGGAATTTCCTAAGCGATAAGAAAGACAAAGGTGTTATTCATAACAAGCATTTTTTTTCAACCACACCTGAGTTCACTGAGTTGAAAAGCCTCTGAAGATGTTTGCCAGAATCAACCAGGTGGTGGGAGGGTTGGAGCTTTGAGTCCACTTGCCCCCATCTCTGGCTTAGTCACCAATGGCCAGTGACTTAATCAATCATGCCTACGGAGCAAAGCCTCCACAAACATCCCATGGGAGAGGCTTGGAGCGCTTCCAGATGGTGAACACGGGGACTATCGGGAGAGGGTGCACCCGGGAGAGAGCGCGCCCTTCCCATACACCCTGCCCGGTGCATCTTTCCCATCCGGCTGCTCCTCGGTTATATCCTCTACAATAAACTTATAATCTAGTAAGCACTCCTGTGTTCTGTGAGCCACTCTAGCAAACTGAACCAGAGGAAGGGGTCAAGGGAACTTCAGAAGCAGATCTGGCCTTGTAATTGGCATCTGAAATGGGAGAGTAGTCAGTGTCTGAGTCCTTTACTTGTGGGATCTGACACTCTCTCTGGGTAGATAGTATCAGAATTGAGTTAAAGAGAGTTGGAGAATTGCTTGGTGTCAGGGAACATGCCCCCCCTCTCACCCGACCACCTCCACCATGCATACACCTTGTCACAGGTATGTTCAGGGTGGTTATTGAGAGTAGAGGAGACACATAAGAGAGTCTTTCCTTTAAAAACTTATAGTAAGACATGACCCCCACCACCACCACCACCTTGAAGACTGGCCACTCAATATTTCTATTCCTTGGGCAACCTTCGGAAAGAGTATGGAGTAGCTTCAGAACTTCCCTGAGATATTAATATATTTTATATTTCAACAGATGCTTACCCATTTTTTCTATTACTCTGATAGAGAAAGAATGACTGGTTTGCTCCTATTACTGCAGTTTGGGGTGAGGGTTTAAACCTTCAGGGAAAATTTAGAGATATATTTTTGCATGCATGGCCTGGAGGACAACTGTTGTATTGCTAAAACAGCTGAAGACTGAGCAGTCAAATATACAAATAGTGTTTGGTGTATGATTTCCGGGACCAAAATAAAACAAGAAACTGAGCAGGATGTATCTTCAATCTTCTGAAATTATATGGATTAAATTGCATGTTTTTCCTTTCAATAAAAGTGAAAAAAGTTTAAGAATAAATTTGCCTGTCTCTCATACAAGTCTAAGCTGGTTCCTAGCGTAATAAATAGCTTGAACAATTCACTCGCTGCATTTTCAATTGCTCTGTCAAATGAAATGTGTGACTATATCTATTTTATGACTGTCAGACTCTTTTTAATTTCTGGTTGGCCAATTTAATCACCATGATCATGTTGCAGCTTTTAACTGATAATATTACCACTTTGGAAAACATATTCATATAAATATAAATTTATTATAATTTCCCTTTAAAGGTTTTACGAAGATTTCTAGTTAAGGAAGGCAGGTTGAACACACCACAGAGAGGACATGAATTTCCAGATTCAAAGGGATCATTGAATCAGCTCAATAGAAGAAAACAGATCTATACAGCAAGACTCAGCATCATGGAATTTCAGAAACGGGGGGTGGTGGTGGTGGGGGAGGGAGTAAAGAAGAAATTCTGAAGCTTCCAGAAATTAAAAACAAGTTTCACATGAAAGATCAGAAATCAGAAAATTTCAAAAGCAACACTAGAGAACAGAAAGCTTTAGAAAAATGCCTCCAAATTCTGAGGGAAAATAATTTCTAACTTAGAATTCTATCCCCAACCACATTAACTAAGCACCAACTAAGGATAAACTGAAGTCATTTTCATATGTACAAGATTTTAAATATTTACCACCTGTGTACTCTTTTTTTCAGGAAATTACAAAGGGCATGCTCCACAAAAGAAGGACTAAACACAGAAAAAGGAACAGGATTTGCTAGAATGCCAATAAAAGGGGGGCTGGAAACTGCAGTCAGCCTAGAAATGGGTGAGTTAGAGCTCTGGAGAGCTGTCTTGAAGATGAGACTGACAGAACACCCAATGCCTCTGACGGTATGGCTGGCAGAGTCACAATGTGAGCGTGAATAAGTACATAGAAGACAAAGTAAAAACCATGGTAATTACTAATTCTACAGGAAACAAAAATACTATGCAGAAAGAGAAAATTATAGGAAACTACAAGGCTTGACTGGGAATAGCATTTACAAAACTGTAATAATGTAAGCACTGCATATTGAGTTTAATCAAGGAGAATCCATGTAATTTCAGATGATTGAAGGTACAGCCTACTCAACCAAACCAGTAGGGCCTGAATGCTCATTTTTGAAAGAAGAGTTATTTTGGGGGTCATTCACATCAACACTTTTTCAGTGGACAGACACTACAAAGTTGTGAAAATGCAGGTCTCATGCTATATTAGGATGTGAATTATGGTCTCCTAGGTCACAGAAAAATCAGTTCTCAATGAAAATACACCAATTTTCTTCAACTTCTAATGAATGGCTAAGGAATTAAGTAAACTGGCCAAGTCACTTAAGCAACAACCATGCACAGCAAGAAACAGAGCAAAAGGTGGGAATGCCTTCTGAATGAGACAGGCCACTCCAGCACAGTTTCAGCCAGTGAGCCTTTGGTTATTAAAAACAAAGCATTCTTTCGGTGCTAAATCATAGCAGGCGCTGAGGGCTGAGGGTGGTCTGTTGGCCATCATTCTGTATGCAGACAGCCCAGTGCCCAGCCTTCTCTCTTAACTGCTTTGAAGAGCAGGGGGTTCACTGTGCTTCAGCCCCACTGGCAGGGGAGGGAGAACCTGGAAGCAAAGCTCATCAAACAATGATCAATGGCTTTGGTGCGACTCTGACGAGGGGCTGAAAATGAGTAGTAAGGAGTAGAAATGCTATTTAATATCGTCCTTGTACCTTACTAATGTTTTCTCTTACAGCAGCCCGAAGAATCAGCAAGGCTTCCTATCCCTCCCACCCCCACCCCACCGGCTGTTCAGTGTGTCAATGTGACCCATGTCCTCTGGCTCCGTGTAGGTACTGCCTGCAAAACTATATGCTACCTGTGCACTGCCAGTCCCTCGCCAGCCTGGGTGAACCAGGAATTGGGTACAACTAGAGGAACCTCTCCTTGAGCAGTCTGGGAACCTTACAGAGGTGATGTCATGCTATTACTTCCCATTCCAACAACCAGGAACAGCCAGCTGTTGCTCAAAGTATTAATTAATTAATTAATTAATTAAGTCATTCATTCATTCATTTATTCACTCATGAATCCACTGAAAACCGTCACCAGGGCAAATCGTTTCTTTCTTTCTTTCTTTCTTTCTTTCTTTCTTTCTTTCTTTCTTTCTTTCTCTCTCTTTCTCTCTCTCTCTCTCTCTCTCTCTCTCTCTCTCTCTCTCTCTCTCTCTCTCTCTCTCTCTTTCTTTCTTTCTTTCTTTTTTTATTCCAGAAGAACAAATTTCCTCCAAAACAAGACATTCACTATCATCCATGACAAAGCAAGACGGCCAGCTACTCTTACACTTAGACCACAGGTCACACCCGCTGTAGGAATGAAGCGTCAGGGAGCAGGAGGACCAATGGAACCCAGCCAGCCCCACCCCCACAGCCTTCAACTGAGAAACACACGCTACACACTACGGTGTCCCCTCAGCCTCAACTCCCCAAAGGACAAAGGCCCGAAACAGCAAAATTACGTCCTTTAGCATGTCCTTGAAGCCCCACAGGCCAGGCAGTGTGTTTATGAGTTTGATGGATGCTTTAGATTTCCCAGCAGCAGGGAGAGGCTCAAAATTGCCCCTTACCATTTCTCAAGCTTTCTTAGTATTATTGGAACGAGCAGTAAAAAAGAGGGTGGGAGAGTGGTTCTACATAATAAAACACTGCCCTTTGTTTTTATAGAAATTCCAACTTTTTAAGAGCTTTCTTATCAATTCCTCCTATCACCACATGCCTGCCATGTGCTTAGTGCACACTACATGATGTCCATTTAGATTATTAATAAACAGAGAGGCTATTTCTGCTTCACAGTGACTCAGTTGGGATTAATTCGAACGTCCTGCCTCTCACCTACGTAATCTTGCCCTGGGTCCGGGAAAGAGCCTGCTATGGCTGCAAATACCTCCCCAGCGACAAAGGCTGAATAGTGTCCTCAGGTTCACTTTTTGTTGTCGTTTTAATGAAATCTAATTCATTTTACATGCCATTTAAGTGTAGTTGAGTAGCTAAAACAACTTAAAATAATTTATTCATTATTCTCTGAGGATCTATTTTTCATAAGCATTTTCTCCTTTTAAATGAAAGTTCCCCCTCTCTGTAAAAGTTATTTTCATCTTTCATAAACAAACCAACCATTTTCTGCCTCCTCACACAAGGTGTTTTCAGTGTGATTTTAACTTTCCTTGCTTTATATTGTGCTCTGTCGGACTGATATTCCACAGGTTACCAAATTCACTTTCGTAGGAACAACAATGAGCATAAACATGATCTCAAGCCCCAGTGTTGGGTGACTGGACAATTTCACCAGCTCTTACTTCATTTCTCTTATCTGTAACAGGCAAGAACAATACTTCCTCATCCTCAACCCTCACAAACCAAAGTGAGATAATGTTTGTAAAGGTGATTGTTAAAA